GGGGGGCGGTGGGAAGTGGTCGTTTGTACAGGTAATTATCTTGGACAGGTGACTAGCCATTAGAGATCCTTTTTATTTTAGACAAGAGTAGAGTATGTCTTGGACAGTATCATTTCTAAATATAGAAAAAAACATAAGGCGAAGGGGTGGGAAGTGGCCGTTTGTACTGGTAAAATTGTCTTGGTTTCACTGTACAACTACTGTATTGGAAATACCTCCAAAATCTATAAGGAACTACAGTGAGAGTCCGCCCAAACTAAACTGAAATCTGCATCAAATTTTCTTCGGTTTAGCTAGGTTGTCAGTTTAGAGAGGGTCGCTCAAATAGAAGATAAAATATCAGGGACTCCATTTTCTATAAGTTTATCGCTCTTTAGGACTACCTGTGTTCTGTTTAACTCTTTCAGTACCGTGAGTCATGTTTCACGGCTCGCCACGTCCTGCTTCAAAACCATGCCTAATTTCGTAATAATCAAATCTGAAATCTTAGGCTGAAGAATTATCGTTTTTAGCATCATGTTGAGATAATAATAATAATAAAAAATAGCATTTGTATAGCGCATATCCCCGCTCAACAGCAGGCTCTATGCGCTTTACACTATATTATTACCCCAGCAGACCATAGAACACTCCAAAACATTCTCAACTTCCGCGGAAGCATACAGTGCAAGCTGCGGATTCCACGCGCTCAAACACTATCAAACTGACAAGATCTTTCTCTGTCTATAGCTGGGTACCAATTCCCACCTGGGTGAAGTGAGGAAAATTTGTGCAAAGTGCCTTTCCCAAGGACACAACGTCGGGCCCCTGACGGGATTCGAACCCACGACCGTACAGTTGCGAGTCCGAGAGCCTAACCACTAGGCCACTGACGCCACGATAGGTCATTATTTCCCCTTTATTTCCATATATAATACATGTGGCTAATATTGAAAATTGAACTTTAAAATCTTTAATTTGTCCAACAATAAGCAGAATCAGAAAGTAGGTCACAGATAGGGCCCGGTCAGGGTGAGGAAAACCCCCTGGTAGTGAAAGAATTAAGACGGCTCCACTGTTGAATGAAAAAATTGTTAACCCTCATCCTGCGGGAGCCGGGTTTATGTAGCCCGATAAGCCTATTTCGGCACCTCGCCTGCGTTCTGGTCCCGAGTCAGTGTAGCTCCTGGCTCAGCGCACGTGCAGCCTCTTACGTGTCATTCGGGTCCCGAGTTGGATCCCCATTCACGCAGGTCAAGTGTGTGTGTGTCAGTCTGCTTGAGTTTGTGTGCGTTTGTGGCCTTCTTCTAGAACCACCTGCGTTGGTTCGTAATCGAGGCATACGTCTCATTCAAAACATGCCAAGTTGATAGCTCTCGATGTTCGTCCAATGAAATTATAGAAGAAATTGACCCACTTAGACATGAGGAGCTCGAAAGGATAGTCAGGAAACAAGACTTCCATTTTTCTATACAAAATATTTCAAATGAGCTTGATTTTGTATGAAATGATACTACCTGATAAAAGATGAGCTTGTTTAATAGTTTTGAATACCCTTGTGCAGGTACAAAGAACAATTTGAGTGTAAAACATTCGGAAATTGACCTAAATTTCCCTTTTCGAACCTCAGGTCATTCATAACAACAAGAGCGTCCAGAAAGGTTATTCAAATGGGCGTAACTACTCGTAATGTCTTATCAGCTTGTGAGAGGGGGTTATTCATGTGTTTGTAACACTTTATAAATAGAATGCTATGAAGGATAGAGCGTTATTTTCATCATCAGTTAACACACTCCCGCGGTATTCATGGCGAAAACACACGTTTCCCGGCGCGCGCGCTGTACACCAACAGTACACACTGAGTGACCCCGGCGGCCTGCCCGACGTAACCGGTTGCTGATAAGATACGCATCTGGGCACAGACGATAGAGTTAAAGCAGTACATCATGAATGACAAAAGACTGAAGTAAACAAGTTCTTAGAGAAGAATCGGATCAAAACGGTAAGTTAACAATTATCATCACATTCCTTATTTCTCACAAAATTCTACAACTGGCATGTGCAGCTCTATATAATATGATATATATATATATATATCATAATAGTAATAATAATAATCTCATATCATAATAGGTATACCTAATAAATAATAATAATGATGATGATGATAATAACAATAATAACCATACTACTACTACTACTACTACTACTACTACTACTACTACTACTACTACTACTACTACTACTAGTAATAATAATAATCATCATCATAGTTCATTGGTCAATGTTTGACAATGACCAATGCACCATTTCTTAACAAGAAATAGAAGAATTAAGGACATGATTTCAAGCTTTGCTATGGCAAGTTAGATAAGTTGTGGCACAGAAGAGTTTGTGACATTTTGAGCATTCAAAAGCTTCATTTCCACTCATGAATGTGTGACCTTGCTTTGACTGGCACGGTACTGAAATGTGTGACTGGTATGGTACTGAAATGTGTGACTGGTATGGTACTGAAATGTGGGCTTGGCATGTTACTAAAATGTGTGACTGGCATTGTACTAAAATGTGTGACTGGCATTGTACTGAAATGTGTGACTGACATGCACGGTACTGAAATGTGTGATTGGCACGGTACTGAAATGTGTGACTGACATGCATAGTACTGAAATGTGTGACTGGTATGGTACTGAAATGTGTGACTGACATGCACGGTACTGAAATGTGTGACTGACATGCACGGAACTGAAATGTGTGACTGACATGCACGGCACTGAAATGTGTGACTGGCACGGTACTGAAATGTGTGACTGGCTGGCACGGTACTGAAATGTGTGATTGGCACAGTACTAAAATGTGTGACTGACATGCACGGTACTGAAATGTGTGACTGACATGCACGGTACTGAAATGTGTGATTGGCACGGTACTGAAATGTGTGACTGGCTCGGTATTGAAATGTGTGACTGACACAGTACTGAAATGTGTGATTGGCACGGTACTGAAATGTGTGATTGGCACAGTACTGAAATGTGTGATTGGCACAGTACTGACATGTGTGATTGACACAGTACTGAAATGTGTGATTGGCATGGTACTGAAATGCGTGATTGGCTGGCACAGTACTGAAATGTGTGACTGGCTGGTACAGTACTGAAATGTGTGACTGGCTGACATGCACGGTACTGAAATGTGTGACTGGCTGACATGCACGGTACTGAAATGTGTGACTGGCTGGCATAGTACTGAAATGTGTAACTGGCATTGTACTGAAATGTGTGACTGGCACGGTACTGAAATGTGTGACTGGCATAGTACTGAAATGTGTGACTGGCATTGTACTGAAATGTGTGACTACATGCACGGTACTGAAATGTGTGATTGGCACGGTACTGAAATGTGTGACTGGCACGGTACTAAAATGTGTGACTGGCATAGTACTGAAATGTGTGACTGACATGCACGGTACTGAAAAGTGTGATTGCAATGGTACTGAAATGTGT